GAGGGAGAGGAGGAGGAGTACAAGCTGCTAGGACATCATCCACAACGGGCAGGAAGAGCAATGAGCAGGAACCCACATTCCTACAGGGCCTCGGCCATCGTGCTGCTCAGACAGCTGGGAGAGAGAGGCAGCAGCCAGTTCGGACAGACTCCTCTCTATTGCTCTCCACCGAGGGAGGAGAAAGAGTGCAATACTCCACAGCCCTCGGGCAGTGTAGGCACCTGTCCAGCCCAGAGAACATGCCTCACCTCTCCCCCCTCGCCCTGCCACTGGTCTCACCTTCCACTGGGGAGAAGGAGGTTTCTCCCATCCAGTCCTTGGGGCAGGACAAGCGACCCCTCCTCCCTTTCACAAGCAGGAGGGACAGGAATGGATATTTCTCTCTTAGACACTCAAGGAAATCCTCAAAAAAACCCCATCCAGCTGTGAACCCTGCCACATTCTTCTGTGGCCTGCTGAAAACGTGTGTCCGAGCCCCTGTACGCACAAGGACCGTCTCTCCATCCCATCCACCATGCATGTCTCAACACGCACCCCCCCTTCATACGCATTCTACAGTGAGAGAGAAGGCAAAACGGGGGCCTTTCTTTGGGTTTGAAAGGAGGGGCTCTTGCATGAGGAAGTGATCCCAGCACAGGAAAGGGGCTCTTGCACAAGGAAGCATCCTCCTACCAGGCAGGCTGTTGCACAGAAGGAGCACCCCCTTGAGACAGGCTGTTGTTCAAGGGGCTGCCATGAACAGGGTTACACGGCCAGAAGAGGCTGTTGCAGGAGGAGAGGCCGGAGACTGTTGCACGAGGAGGGCCGCTAAACAAAGCGGTGCCCCTGGGCGCAGGCTATGCACAAGAGGCTTTCTGCTCCCTGGGTTGAGGTCTCTCTAGGAGCTGGAGAGGTGCTCCACTTGGATGGCGCTGGTGCTGACAGTGAGGCAGATGTCCTTGTGATGCTCTGAAGTCTTGTAAGGAGTCAGGTCAAAGGAGCACTGGGGGGGAGGGTTGGGTTGGTTAGTGTCTCCAGAAGGGCCCCCTGCTGCCCCCCCGCCCTGCGGCTGGAAGTGCTGCTGCTGCTGAGAGGCCTGGGCTTGCGCCTGAACCACCTGCTGCTGTGGGTCAGGGATGTTGTGTTTCCGCATGTGCTTCATCAGGTACGTCTCCTGCAACGGGAAGAAGGGCGTGAGGGGAGGGGATGACATTCGCCAAAGCCAACGGGGAGGGACACAACAGCTCAGGGGGCTGCTCCTGTTGGACCCGAAGGAGCTACTCCCCGGGAAGCATGTCCACTTCTGCTACCCCCCCCAGGGCAGCAAACACTCACCGAGGTGTAGGCCCGGCTGCAGATGGAGCAGGTGTAGACCTTGGCGTGTTTCACCGTGTGTGTAGCCAGGTGTACCTCCAACGAGGCGGCATCCGTGTACGCACGGTGGCAGTTGTGGCACTTGAAAGGTTTGTCTTTGTTGTGCTGCCGTCTGTGGGACTGGGGGACACAGCAGGGCGCAGGAAGGAGAAAGCAAGCACAAGGAAGGGAGTATTAATACTGGAGAAGGCTTTCCTTCTGACACTCCCTTCCAGCCAGGACCCAAGCTCCCTGGGGCCCTGTCTGCTGATGGAGGTACACCTGGCTCCTAGTGTAGGGGACAGAGCTTCTCCCTTCAGCCCACCACATTTTCCCTACAGATGCCTTTTCTTCTTGGGCATACTAGGCATTTGAAGAGCACAATCTCCTAACTCCCCACAACCCCCATCTTCTCAGTCTCCACACAACCCTTTCGCAGTCTTTTCCTTTTCTCTCCTCTCCTCCCTCACTACACATTTGCTACCCACATCTGTCACTGCCCTTCAGGGCAGGATCTCCTTTAACTGCTCGCAGGCATTTACAGCTCTGCCATTTGGCATGCCTTGCGGTTCCCCTCCTCCAGGATACTGCAACAAGACACACCACCTCTGCTTTCCTGAATCCCTACTCTTATGCCCTCCATTTTCTTGTAAAAGAAACCAAGAACCCAACCAGATTCTCAGATTTTATACTGTGTGACAATAAGCAATAATCCTGTCCCAGCTAAGTTAGAAAACTCTGCAGAACAGATGGGAGGAGCTTTACCAAGGTCTCACTGCTTTCAAGTGAAGTTTACAATTTCACAGGATGAGATTGTTTATGAGACTTCTTTGGGTCACTAGTGCCACAAAAGCCAGGAATCTCTCCCCCACCCAGGGCTTCAACAGTTTTTCTGTATTCTTTCACTCTCTTCCCAGCTGCCCCAATTTCTCCATCTCCTCTACTACAGGCAAGTAGTCTCTCCTCCCACTTGACAGCCGCCCTTGCCACCACCACTGGTGAGCAGGACAAGCCCAGTCCCTTACCTGCAGGTTGGAAAGCTGGGTGAAAGCCTTTTCACACCCAGGGTGAGCGCATTTGTAGGGTCGGTCCCCAGTGTGGATACTGTTGAGAAGGAAGAGCACAAATGGGAGGCAGTGAGCAGGCAGGCAGGGCAGACTGCCAGGGCCTGATGCTGCGATCAAATCTCACAGCCACTCAGGAGAGCAGGGAAGGGGATGATGTTGCCTCCAGATGCTGTTCTCTCTGGACAAAGAGAGCTCTGCCCAGCTCCTGTGTCCAGCTAGAAGTTAGAGAAGATAGGCAGTCAAGCAGATTTCAGAGAGTGACTAGGACTGAGGAGAAAGAGCTTACGAATGCCTGCCCAACTTGGCATGAGGGACACCTGAAAATGGGTTGGGAAGGGGTCTGGAGGTCCAGGCCCCCTACTCCAAGCTCAGGAGTCCTCTATGGCCAAGAGGAGTCTGTTCTCCTGCTTCCGCAGTACCAAGAAAACAGCTCTGTTCCTTCTCAGGATAGACACTCCGACACTTTTCCCTTCACATCATCAGGCTGAGATCACCTACAGTGTTAATCTGTCCCTGTCCCCCTGCAATGCCAGAAGAAGCTTCCACACACTCAGTCCAACCCCCGCGGTGCCAGGCTGGGATCCCCTATGGCCAATGCCTCTCTCTCTATCGCTCTCTCTCTCTGTGCCCCCCGCGGTGGTGCAAGACCAAGGGATCCCCCAGGGACAGCACGTGCCCACCTCAGCCCTGACGTGGTCAGTGTCTCTTGCGCAGCCTCCACTCCGTCCACTCTGGTGGGTCACCTCCGTCTGTGGGCGCAGCCGGCCGCGTCCCCCGCCCGCCCCCCGCATGCTTGGCGCGCGTGCTCCACAGGTGCATGCCGGCAGCGCGGGGGGGCCAGGGCCAGGCCCCCAGCCTCCTCTGGCCCTTACCGTGTGTGCTGCTGCAGGTGGGAGAGCTGGCGGAAGGCCTTCTGGCAGTAGCGGCAGGTGTAGGGCTTGGCCCCCGAGTGGATGCGGAGGTGCTGGGCCAGGTAGGATGTGTTGGCGAAGCTCTTGGAGCAGTGAGGACACTTGTGCGGCTTGACAATCGCCGTGTGGAGCTTGGAGTGGATCCTGCCGAAGAGGAGGAGGAGCAGCAGCAGTTGGACACGACCGCCATCTGGCTAGTGCTGATGGAATGAGGGCACAAAGGGGGTGGGACAGCACCACAGCTATCTGCTACGTGGAGGAACTCCACACACGGCATGAGCTTTGCTCGGGTCTCAAACCGTGCTCCCCTTGGATTCAAGAGACCATGGTCTGTCCGCACCGGGGGAGGATCCAGAGAGAGGAACTATAGAGTTTGGACTGAGGGGCATTGGCAGAGCTGTGTGTGGGAAGTCTACGGCTGAAAGAGCAGGGGGGCTGCAAGCCTGGACTGAGACGTTTGGCAGAACTACGCGGGGGCGACAGGGACCAGTCCTCCCTTACGCCCGCTCTACTCTGGCTCTGACACAACCAGCCCTACCTTCTGTCAGAAAGCCTCAACTGCACCGCAGGCGCCCCTGAGGGTGAGCCAGCGCTAGCCTCTGTGCACACCCGGCCCCTCACAGCAAGTGACAAGTCTCACGTTGTCGGATAACCGCGACTGCCGGTTTATCGTGTACCTCTGAGACCCCCACCAGCCTGCGGAAAACAGCAAGGTCTCCCCAGGCAGTCGCCCGCTGAGGGGTGCTCACAGCATGCTGGGGTGACGGCAACATGCAGTGCGGAGGGCGGCCGAGCCTTCCTCTGGCCCTTACCGTGTGTGCTGCTGCAGGTGGGAGAGCTGGCGGAAGGCCTTCTGGCAGTAGCTGCACGTGTAGGGCTTGGCCCCCGAGTGGATGCGAATGTGCTGGGCCAGGTAGGAGCTGTTGGCGAAGCTCTTGGAGCAGTGAGGACACTTGTGTGGCTTTGTCTCCGTGTGGGACTTGGAGTGGATCTGCATCTCCGACTTGGAGTAGAAGGTCAGCGAACACATCCGGCACCTGGGAACCCGGGGTGAGGGGAAGAGACAGCGTCACACGGCGTGCCCCCAATATGACAGTGCCCCAAAATGTACCAACTCTAACTGGCTAGGGCCTGCCACAATGAGTGAAGAAGGGACATTTTCCCACTATGTGGTTCTGGGGAGGTTTCACCCTGGGCACTGCGCTCGGCTGCAAGTATTCCAGTCCCGGGGGGACAAACTTAAGCCAGGAGCTGGCAGAAGAAACCAAATGATTCCTTGCAGCCAGAAAAGCAAAAGGTCTTGGAAGAATCTAAGACGTCAAAACAAGGGAAAACGAAACCAAATGATTCCTTGCAGCCAGAAAAGTAAAGGTCTTGGAAGAATCTAAGAGGTCAAAACAAGGGAAAATGGGTTTAAACTAAAGGAGGGTAGATTTAGTCTATATATAAGGAAGACACTTTTTACAATGAGGGTGGTGAAAACACTGGAACACTGGTAGATGCCCCATCACTAGAAACATTCAAGGTCAGCTTGGATGAGGCCCTGAGCAACCTGATCTAGTTGAAGATGTCCCTGCTCATTGCAGGGGGGTTGGACTAGATGACCTTTAAAGGTCCCTTCCAACCCAAACTGTTCTATGATTAGGCTTACAAGAGAGACAGGGCAGCACTTTCAAAATTTTCCAACAGCAATCCGAAGGAGACAGGAATAACAATTCCCAGACAAAAAACCTACTTTGTTCATCTATAATTTATTTCAGTAAAAAAAAAAAAAAAGTTGGAAAACCTTGAAATCCCAGGCTAAGGTTCATCTTCACAATAAAAGCTAATTTCATGTACTGCAAAGTCTGCAAAAGCAGTTATGACCAAACCCACTTAACTCTGCTCCCATTTTTGGAGAAGATACTCGAGTATTTAGAATAAAAAAATGCTGAAAATAACAACACTGCTCCTTTCCTAGTGGGTCTCATAAAGATACTCTGGATATCAAAAGTGCTATTTCACTGGTCTAACAGGCTTTCATCATTTCTACCTTATTGATGTGATGCAAAATGTTTTGTCTGGGAGTTTGGACCCATCTGTTCCCATAATGATCAGAAACGTATTTGGTAACACACAGACTCTTTTGAACAGGAAGAAGCAGTTGGCATCTATCTGCTATGGATGCTGCTGTTAAAAACTGTTCCTCCATCATGACACCAGGCTGTTAAGAGAAGCTTGCAATGTTATACAATTCAAGATGGTAAAAGCTTTTGTGGTTGATAATTTGACAGAGAGATAAACGCTGCATACAAGTTACTAGAGGTTTTTTTTTGGATTTTTTTTTTTTTTTTTTTCCAAACATGTGCCAACCAAGGGGCAGAGTAAAGGTTTCTCTGAACTCAGTTTTTCCATTTGCAGACTTTTCAGTTAAACAAGACAAAATTGAACCTGCCCTTGGAACTTCCAAGGTCACAATTAAGAGAAAAAAATGCCACCTAGAAGTCTGGCTAACACGAATTCAAACTTCATAGCAGGTTGATTTATGTTTTTGTCTGGGAATTTCCTGAAGTGTTTACAAAACTGCTCAGTGACAAAAGTCTGTGCAGGTATTACAAGCCACAGAGTTGACCCTGCTCTTCCCCATATCTATCTCCTCCCAAGAGGACACTTCATTCTATCCACTAATTGTGACTATTGACTTTGGAACCAGAAGCTTTATGAAGTGTGCAGTCTGATTAGCTTATGTAATGTAGGCAATATTTATCCAGCACCTACCTTAACTTCCACAGGCCCTTCCAAGCCACAGTTTTATTTTAAACTATTTAACTGGAAGCAAGGCCTCCCTAAGCAAGCACTCTAGCACACACCTTTTGTCCTCTCCACCGTTGTTCTTTTACATTCATTACCATCTCTAACAGTTGTTCCCACGTTTCCTACCTTCATCTTTCTCTTAATCCACTTTAATTGCAAAGCCTAACAGAACCCGCAAGCCAACGCATCCTTACACAAATCCCCCCTCACACACACCAACCACAGTCCCTTCTGGAGGCAACAAAGAGAAGCAATTTGGCTGTTTATCCCTAGGCCTATTAGAGATTCCAAGAATAAAAAAGGAACATCAGAATCATCTTCTAAAAACATAACTCTTGGTTTATAAACCACAACATCTCCAAACGCTTGTGCAGTTTCTTCCAGACTTTTTGAAATGTTTTAAGCTAGACTTGAATACAGCATATGCATTTCGCAGTTGCCAAGTCATACCTGCAGGATGAGGATTATATCCTTGAAAGCAGCGATGCTAGAAAGAACTTTGAGGTGAATACTGAACTGAAAAATACCTCTGAGTCGCCGAGTCGCTAATGCAAGCAATTATGGCATAATCTCATGCATAACTTTTATCAAGCTCCTTCTCAGCAGATGCTCACTTCCATTACTCTCAGCTGAACTCTGCTCCACGATATCAGTTCTCCGATAAGGAACCGTTCAACTGAGAACAAGCTCCCAGTGCGATGCTGTGCTAATGTGGCTAACAAAGGGGACCAGCAGGTATCATTTTGGTAAAGAGGAATGCTGCTGCTATTCTTGCCATAGCATGTCTAATTCTGAAGTCTGGGTAGTCAACAATTATTAGAAAACTCGGCCAGGTTTAGCAAACTTAAAGGATGGCATGTGGAAAATCAGCTTCACGGTGAAGATTCACTGAGCCCAGTCTATCTAGGTTTGGAGGAAAGCTTAAAAGATAGCTTGGTCAATACCCATATAAATTATGCAGGAAGAAAAATATCAATTACTAGGGGCTTGTTTAATGAGCCAAGAAAGGTATAATTAAAAACAGTAACTGACAGGAGAAGGTAAAAAAATCCAAGAGGAAACAGGATCTTTCCAACCATGAGAATAATGCATCTTTGGAACAATGTTTGGAGGCTATAGTATGGTCTCAATCACTTGGCCCCAACAATCAGTATTTTGAGAATCCAGCTATCTGAGAGAACCTTTCTAAAAAAGCTACCTTTCTAAAACTATCTTTCTAGAAGTTTTGGTCTAGCCTAAATACAGTGCTGGACACTAATCTCTTCTGTGCTGTACACATGACTATATTTTAAGCAGTCTGTTCTGAAAAATTCATGAACTTTACTAAGTCATCGAGTCTAAGTAGGCCCATGCACTAAATCTGTAGTGCCATGAAGCCATCTACTTTATTTTCCATAACTTCTGTGCATCCTTTCCTTTACTTATTTGCTTTGTCAGGTATCTGCCTTCAGGTCAGAAATTCCCTAGAATAAACTTTAATGAAGAGAAACAGATTGAATGTCCTTTTCCATTTTCAAAATGAAATTATAAAGAAGGTATTTCAAAACCTCTCCAGCACTTGCATAAAAATGGAAGATAAATCTGACTGTTAGCAAAAACACTTCCCCCAAAAAAACCCACAAACACCTCTTGTCTGAATTTAACAGCTGTAAACATTCCGGTATTGTTTTTCAAACAACATTTAAAAAGAAAGTCTTGCAAGGACTCATTTTCCAATCATCTAATTAGCATCAGCCCTCAGAGGGCAAGAATGTTATGTAGCATTAACAAATTCATGAGCCTTATGAGTTAAAAAAAAGCCCTGGAATACAGCAGAAAGCTGCATTTCAGAGAGTTTTCTATTGTGTGGTATCAGGCTTTTTCAAGGGAACAAATGATCCATTTAATTAAGGGCTCCGCATTCTGCCTCAGACAACATCAAATATTAAAGGAGAAGATGCAATCAGCCCTCTAGTGGGCAAATATGGATTAAAAAAATGTTAAATCTATACGGATAATGATGTGGTAGGTTGAGAACATCGCATCTGACACTAGCAGTGTTTCAGTGTTCTACTTCAGTGAAATTCTCCTGGCTGGGGAGAGGAAAAGCTGGGAATGCTCCTGGCTAAGCATGAAAAACATTATACATGAAATAATTTGATTTTTTTCCCCCTTCTGTTTTTAATATCCATTTTTAATCTTTTCTCCCCACTGTGATTCTAAACTACCACTACTTCCACTGTATTCTTTCTGGGAGCAAGTAACAGAAATGACTGCAGCATTCCCATTGACAGCGTGACACAACATCCCTAAAGCTGCTTGTTATGGCTCTGCAAATTTAGACAGCCTAGGAGAATATATTCTTAATAACACAGGGGTGTATCTCTTCATATAAATAGTTAAATTAGTACCCAGGCATATGCCAGAGATCAAAAGTAAGCTCTTTCAATGTTTATAATCCTTTCTTTTTATAGGGAAATAAAGTGAGACATTCAGAGAATGTTCATGTTAGACAGAAACACCCTCAAAAATCATGAAATGCCAGTAAAAGGTGGATGTACAATTCTAATTCTGCTCCCATATGAAAGTCATCACGATGAGTCATAAACAAAATGATGCTTATAGCAACTACAACTCTGTGGCACGGCATGCCATATTTTTTTCCCCACTTTTCATGGAATGTTCCGCCTCATTCATCAGATGCTGTTATGAGATAAAATACCATGTGAACTACCAGCTCATAGTAAAATTTGCCTAACATGGATTAACAGCATTTTTCAATCAAGTGCTTAATTAATCAGTATGACAGTTGTGAAAACTACGTAAGCTTTTATATGGCTTTGAGAATTCAAATTCCTAGCATCTACTGAGGTTAGTCTTAGAAGTTAATTGAGCCCTTGCTCCTTCTGTTAGGCTACAAATACAAGCTGGACCACAAGTTAGAAAAAAAAAAAAAAATCAAATCGGAAAAGTCTGAAGTTAAACTAGACGACAAGAATAAGTTTAGGCTGTCAGAGTCAGCAGTTCATTTAGCAAGGAAAGAAATGTACTGTCCTTGCAATGCAGAGTTAATGAAGTAACTAATGCAAGCATAGCGTAATAATGGATGCACAGTTCATGATAAATTCTAATTTAACCCTCGCATTCCCCCCCCTTTTTTTTTTAAAGCTGAAGTTAAACATTTTCTTGCTAATATTTTGTCAGAGGTGGGGGAAAGGAGACACAACTAACATCTCAGATACACAGCTAGAAAACCCAGATAAGACCTAAATCAACCCAGTGAGTATGAAGATGCCAAATGAAAGCATATGAATTGTACCTCTGCTGCCATACTTCTACACCCAGCATCAACTCCTATTCAAAAATTAGCACTACACTTCCATTTGCCAATTCACCCCACTGGCATATAAAATATCAAATCTATCAGCTACACTCAGATCTCAGTCAACTCATTTCCACAGTCCTTCAGTCACTCCGTGGCTTGATAACGCTGTAGAAACTCATACTCTTCTGGCAAGGCAGCAAGTGTTTTTAAATGTTCTCACCATATAGCACTTGTCCAGTTCTCTGGTTTGAGGGCATTCCTGCATTTTTTTCCATTTTTCCAAATGATCTTTTAAAAACACCAGACCCAGAATTGTGTGTATTTCAGCATGCTTCACAAATTGCCCATCATCTTAATGACTCCAGCATTTACACTTTCAACATTTCCATCACAGCCTCGCACTGGGAGCTCATATGATGTCACTTAATTCCTCAAAGTCTTACTGCTTTCCAGGATACTGTTTCCCCATATTCCTTATCTTTAGATCAAAGATTTTCATTAGTATCCAACAGGACATTTTAGTCTGATATTGTTTTCCACTGTGTTCAAACACCTAGGTCTCAATCCCTGGCTGCTGGAGAAATCACCCAAAAGGCTAAGTCTTCCATTGCGCTATACTAAAATACATTTTTTTTGAATAGTTGCAGTTTAAGAACCACATAAAGCTTCCTTCTCTTTCTTTTTTCGCTATCCACCTGTTAATGATCAGCCATGGCTTTCTGTTGACCTCCAAATCATTGAACAACATCAGGCCTAAGACCTTGCCTACCAATTTTTGAAACCAGTCACCATTAGCAAAAAGATCAGCAAAACAATAAAACATAACAAGGGGCTTCCTAGTATAGTGATAACACGCAAAAGCTAAAATTAAAAGAATACAAAAGGCCCATGAGAAAGCACTAGCAAATTTGGAAACGCCAGAATTAAGGTCATCTACGCCACCATAATTTGGCTCCGCAATGCAGGTGCACTCTGATACAGCCTTATTGACTGTTTCCACAGAACTGCATCCTTATTATATTGCACAGACAGATACTTAACAAGCAAGTGTTCAGTTTTTTTCATCACCGCTCTGTGTACAGCCTCAAGCCTCGTCAACCACATGCAATTCCAACCTCCTGAAGCACAATCACTCATCTGCTCTGCCCATCGCAGAACTATCAGTGCTCCCTAAGTACTCAGCTATCCCCACAAAGTCCCTGGTTTATTTTTGCCATGGGAAGGGAGTGACAGAAGACATACCCACCAATTCCAAGTGACCAAACTGATACCTGTGACCATTTTTTTCCCTTTAAAGGAAAATTCATATCGTATACATTCAAATCACCCCTACTATAGATTTCTATGCTAACCCTATGTGGTGCAACACTTCTGCAAAGGAAAACAGGCTCTGACGTGTAACAGAGAGCTATTAAATCATACTTGAGAAAAGATTACTGTTTTGGGAACACCAAATGCTAATTATTTCAGGATAACTGTCTGTGGTCATTTTTAGCATGCGGAAAATGCAAATCCACTGAAGACTAGACCTAACTCATGCTTGCACACGCTTCAAGGGAAGATAATCTGCAGGCCTGAACCACATGGCTGTGGGATACCATAGCAAACCTGCGGCAGAGGCAAGCGTCACCTACAATTCTTCAGACTAGCAGTAAAATGCTTTCCCCAAATCATCCTTCTCAATTCTGCAACTCGAGGTCAAAATATATATATTTTTTTTTTTTTTTGTAAAACACTCAGGTTCTCTGAGTAAACATGCAGGAGACACTGACAGGCCATCATGTACACAGTACCTATAATCAGATAATCAAGCATGGCATCAAACTGCATTGACTCAACAGGGCCAAATTAAAGTGGGAACAGATAAAAAGTGCCATAGAATAGTTTCAAAGTTCTCTCTCCCCAGTTGAAACTGTAACTGCCCCCCTCACTCCCTCACACACACTCATTCCATTGAGATGCAAGTAACATGTGCCAAAATTAAATCTCATGACTGCAGAACCTTTACTGTTAATTCCTTCTGCTTGGAAGCGGAGCGTGTGTGTGCACATACACACACACTTACATCATCTTGGCAGAAGGGAAAGAACTTAACATAATGCAAGTTTTTACCTTATTATATCTTGAGGCATGCAGTCTTAATTCTGACATTTTCTAACCTTCAAGCACAGCATTCATATACAAAGCAAAGCTTATGTGTACAAACTGCATGTGTATATATGGATGTGCACATGCACCTGTCCTCAGAGTTTTGAGATCATAAGCCAATTTCAACTAAAACTGGAAAAGGGGTAAGGATCTTAACGTCAACACAAGTCTCATAAAAATATGCAGCTGTGGAAAGAATAGAGAACCCTCTTGGAGCCCCCTGCTGAGGGAAAGGCTAGGAAGCTCACCCTTGATTAGACATCAGAGAATCCACACAGGAGAGAGCCGCTGGAAACCAGGCTTCATTAGTTCCGCTGCTCACGGAACTACTTGTTAAAAAAAGCAAACAGAAATTCCAACATGTGGCATCATACTGACACCCACGCTGGTCATCAGCAATCTTAAGATCCATTGCACAGACCTCTGCCACTGCAGCTAGGGCGATACATGATAGCAACGGGAGTCTGTCACCTTCTTCTAGCCTGAGAGGGGGAGATGAGGTTCTTTGCCAGAGGAGGGCACATTCTTGTGCTGACATCAGAGACACGGCAAAAATTTAGAAAGATTTGGTTTGATATTTCTAGGCTTTGGAGGGAATGTGGTTGAACTTTCTGCCTGACACTTCAAACTTAATTTCCCCTTTGCCCTCAGCCTTCCAGCTTGTTGCAATCCCCTCTCTCCTGCACCAAGACCCAGGCCCAAGCTCTCTACCCACATGCCCCAGCCTCTTTATCCTCTACTGCAGTGGCTCTTCTCTGTTTTATTCCCTCAATTACCTAGCATTTGGCTCCTCTCCCCCACGCTTCTATTTGTCTGTCCACATCCCATGCTCTTGCCCTCAACTGTTCTGCTAATTCTGGGTATCCCCTAGAAGATCTGGTTCTTTCTTCCTCCCCTCAGTCTTGGCCCTTCCTAGCTTATTTCTGTGCCATCAGTCCCTTGTAAATAGGCTCCCCATCACATCCTCTGCTGCCTTCCCTAGTTTGTAGGATCTTGTCTTCTTCTCTCTCCTCCTTTCTGATTCCCATCTCTGCTCTACCAAGTTTCCAGACCTCCTGGACACAACCAGCTCTAGGCTGAGCCCATATCTCATTCTCATCCCTACTATGTTTGAACCAAGCAGCGTCTTCTCGCACCTTGCCCTCGTGCCCCTCCCAAGGTGGAGGTTACTGTCAACACTGGTCACAAAAGACTCCCTTCTTAAGCAGAAGGAGGAACAGTTGTGACTGAAGGAGAAGCATGCTTGGCCCTTCATCCCTAGTCTGAAAGATGCTCATCACTGCAGAGAGAGTACACATGGAGTCCAGCCTCATGAGAGGGGTTAGAAACTGAGAGAGGTTTGAGCACACTTATCTCTTCTGTGGAGATAGGCAGTCTGGCCAGTGCCTAGAGCCACGCAAGCTTCAAGAAATATCAAAGAGGATATAATTTTTGCATATTTCAACTACCAAACTATAAAGCATCTCTGAGCATGCTTAACACATTTTTTTTCCAAGCTTACAACTTGGCCAAATTTGACCATAGTTTTAACTATGTGGCTTACAAAAGCCATAGCCATCAGATTTCAAATCTATTCAAAACCATGGGAAGCTCACCAAACAGCAATACTAAATCCTGTATAGGGCAGAAAAAAAGGCTTAAAATGAGACATGTCTGAGAAGATGCCCACCTGCTATATTCAAACAACTGGCCTAATTTCCTCACTAAAGAGGGGATCCATCCAGCTTCTTCACACTTTACAGCTCAACTCTGCTTCTTGCTAAGCCTTCTAAGGTTTCTGTGCACTTTTTCACCCTGGACTTACCTCAGAAGCTTCCTATGTCTCTCAACTACTTACTGTCTCCCAAACCTCCCACTGTTCCAACAACTTAGTGAAATTAAGGAAACTCAGAACTAGCAGTGGGGAACAGAGACCTCGTTGGTTACAGTATGATGGCAAGACCCTTCTCAAGCCTCCAGCTTTTCTGTTGTCATCCCACGCTCCAAAGCACAGCTAGCAAAACCATTCCAGACTATAAACTGGTATTCATGCTAGCCTTTACAAATTTCATACTGGAACTAAGCAATGCCTATAAAGAGCTCTCTTCTTCTTGCAAAGAAGAAACTGTTTTGAGAACTGTTTTGTCAGAGAGGGAGAACCAATGATCTGGCCCAGATAGGCTGAACCACTTCAAAGTCATCCACTGATCACATCACACCACTGACTCTAAAAGCGCACAGGTACAGGCACCAAAACAATACTAAGAAACAATACTACTCTCTCCAGAACCTTTCAGTTAGGCTCTTCAGTGCCTTTTAAAGTACTGAGAAGCAGCCACGTGCTTTCACACTGCCAGCATCTTACTAGAAAGGCTCTTGATGCTGATCTCATTTTCCACGGAAAAAGTAAATTCTACAAAGATGTCAGGGAAGATTAATGAAGAGCTGACAATGAATCCAGACGAGACTGAAGTGACATTACTCATGAAGGAAAAATGCTTCACAGGACTGGTTTAGATGCTGTCCCCTGCAGGTGCAAGCATTCTAATAGCACAAAGCAAAGCACCAAAGCTCATCCTGAGGCTAGATGTCCAAGATCTGCAAACAACACCATCATTAGCAAAAGCCTCACACCTTTTCTTACAAAGAAAAATCTAGTAAGCAAAGATTCTTGCACTGCTTTCACAGCTGACCACTAATTCACTTCTAGTGACGATACAGTAGCACACCAGCTGCTATTTGCTGAAGCAAGAATCTCTGCATTCAGCAGAGAATGGGATGAGCTGCATTATGTCTATCACCTTTGCGCTCCAATTCCTTCCAAGCCTGCCTTGCTGTGCTGCCCATTCAAGGACTTACTCTGTCTTCAGCAATACACTAGGAATTAAGGAAATCAGCCACCTGCCCAGGCACTCAGGACAAGAGAGCTCACAGAGCTCAAAAATAAACTCAAAACCAAAAAAAAAAAAATTAAATTTGGCAAAATAATCCCAGGCTTTAAAAATTAGGTCTTAAAAAAATGGTATATAGTACAACTCCTTTCAGGCATCTGACTAGATTGTCCTCAGTCACCATAAGAATCCATCACCATAAGAATCAGTGAACTCATACAAATGTAGACATATGAATACCACAAGCAACTCCTCCTCCAGCTTCAAGAGGGAGCAGGAGTAGATGAACCTCACCCACAGTCTTAATTTAGCTAGGCTACGTCTGCGTGCTGTAGTAACGGGAACTACCCAAATCATCCTCTAGAATGCAGAAGGGATCCAGGAGTCCTCAAAGATTAAACTTAAAAGTCTATTCATATGTATATTACGGAGAAACAATTTTAGTGTGTTTCACAAAGGTTTTCTCTCCCACAGCTCTAAGAGAAGATAGCATTTTCCTTTTATTTTTTCAACAACTATTTTTAGTTCCAAACTTGCACACGGAAAGCATCAGCCAAATAGAGGATCCCAAGGAGGGCAGAAGTACTCCTTGGTGGTATTCAGGAAATCTCAATTTAGCTATCTTGCACCTTAGCACTGCTCAGAGGGAGACCTGCTTGGGATGAAGGCTGGAGGAAGAGGCAGAGGGATCAGACTCGGATTAAACATGAAGACAGGAAATCTTCCCGATTACATGTTCCTACATATAACTCATTCGTTTTTTTCCTGCAAAGTCTTTTTCGTGAGCTGTTACACAGACTATGCATGTTCATAAAGTTTCTGCTGAGTCACTCCACCTGGTCTTGGGCATTTTTTTTCCAAACTTACAAGTAAACAAGGAGCTATAATTAAAGCCTTGGTTCAGCTTTAATTCTAGTGTTCACTGCCAATTGTGTCCCCTGTAAATACATATTTAACAACCTAATTAGCAACCCAGACTGTAAGCAGCTTGAGTAGTGTGGAATTGTGGCTAAGGCCCAAAATAAATGGTGGGATTACAAATAGCAAGCTACCTAACACTCCCACCCTTCTTCACCATACGCTGATTATATTTTCAAAGTGGAAGAACTGGGACATTGGGTAAGAGAAGAAAAAGGCTGATCCAAGCTCTGCTTTTGTACCCATTTAAACTGTATTGATTTAAAAACGTAAACATTTTGAAAATGCTGGAGTTAAAAATGAAACAGTGCCTGGGATGGATGCACCGATTCTGTGTAGATGCCTTCATACTGTTATGACTTCATTCCAGAAACATAACTAAATTTGTACAAAAAAGAGGGTCTAGGATGGTTAAAGGGAAACTGTTTAAGACAGGATCACGAGCACATAGTAGGGAAGTGAAAAGAGCTAGGGACCATCTCCTGTTTCTGTTTCCATCGGGCTACTACTTTCCCTTTTACTGATCTTAATCATCCCCAGAATAAATCACCCATACATGCTCCTGCTTCCCAACTAAGACAGACCATCACAATTCCTTCCTAGCACTTCCCTGCTCCGTCCAGCTCCCACCTTCTCTAAAACACCCACACTCCTTATCCTCTTGTTTAAGTATTCCCTCCTAGTTAATCTTTCCCTTTCCCACCACTTACTTGTAAACTCAAGCCACAACCCTCCAAGCTCAGAAACCCAACCTCAGAGCTCAGAACTCTCCCCCTCTTATCTGATACCCCTAGGGCTCAGAAACACTCCTAGACCTAGCACAGAAATACACTTTTTTTTCTCCCCCTGTTTTATTGGGAAGGCTGAAATAGGAGACCACAAGGGGCAATGCACACAGGAGCAGACACTACCACCACAGTTCGCTTCCTGCTCTGTGTGCCTCCAGTTTGTAGTCTTTACACTGGACAGACTGGAGTCCTAATTGAGGAGCACCTGGGCACACTAGGGCTCGGCTACACCAGAAGTGCTCCAGCTGCACCAGACAGTACTGCATCCTGCAGTACACCAGCCATACTGCCCGGCTGTGGAATCGAGGATGTGTTTCAGCCTCCATAACATCCTGGTCATTAACTAACCCAGCAACATTAACATCTGTATTTTCAGGAAATCAAGTTTGTCCACTAAGAAGGAGATCCTTAGTTTTGGGTCAACCCACCAGCTTGCAAACACTCCTGATTAGACGGAAAACTCAACTCTTTCTGCAGCTGAAAGATTCCTTAATCAGGGGGTCTACAGGGAAAAGGCAGAGATCTCTTCCTCCCCTCTTCCTACCCTCTGAAGGGCTAAATACACCCCCCACCCCCATCCCCATGCAACGTTACAGTCAAGGTTTAACCCCGCTCCCCACCTGTATGTCTTGCCATCCTTGTGCTGGTCCTCATCATCCTCGTTTGACAGCACAAAGGGGTCGCTCATCTCTGGCAGCCCTGACTCCTGCAATCGTTTCTTCTTCCGGCCCCGGGGCGGTTTGGGGGCAACTCCCCCACCCCCGCCACCCCCACCACCTTCAGAGAGGGTGGTTGTCCCTTTCTTGGACAGGTCAGGAACCACCTGGAGGGCTGCCTGGGAGCCAGGGGGTAGCGCAGAGACAATCATGGGAGCTGAGATGGGAAAGGTTTGGGCAGAGGAAGCTGTGGTCACCAGGGAACCTGACGGGGAAGTTATCACCAGACCAGGACCTGCAAACAAAGAAAGATGGAGGAAGTCAGTTACTACATCTCTAATTACTCTCAACCTCCTTATCCCACAGAAGTGAGCTTTATACACCTACTTTTGATTACAACCCAAACAGAAGTGTAGTTTACCCTCCCCAACACATTCCCAGTCTTCACTGCTGGAAGTCAAACTTCCATAAAGAGGGTGGGTGTGTGGAACACCTAGACACAGTGAAACCATGCCAAGGCAGTCCACACCATCAGTAAGGGAAGGAATAATCTACAATCTGAAAAGGATTCTCCAGGACCCCCTTGTCCTCCCATCCCAGAGTCTCCCTTCATATGCTGCCCAAGTCTTTGGAGTCCGCTACCTGCTGTCATGAGCCCAGCAGACTGCACTGGTACCACGGTGATGTTCTGAGTCACAGGGGCTTGGCTGTGGGGTGTCAGCTGCTCTGGTTTGGTGTCCGAGTCCATGGAGATACCAGCGGGTAGGGCGACAGAAGTGGGTACTGTCAGCAAGGCAGGGTAGTGGGGGGGAGCCAGGCTGCAGCCCTTCTCTGTGGGCAATAGCTGCTCCTTCATCTTGTTAATAAACATGGTGTTCTCAATCTAAACAGGTGGGGGGAAAAAAAAAAAAAAAAAAGATTCAAAAGTGGTTTAAAATTGTATGTATGCCCTTTAAAAAATAAGGTTAGCTTAATTTCTCCACATAGAAAAAAAAAAAAAAAAGGGGGAAAAAAAAAAAAAAAAAAAAGCTTTTTAGAATACCCTGGCACAGCTTCTCACAGCAGTTGGCTGAGCAAAAATTGCAACAGAAACACTTTTCATGCACTAACTTCTAATAGGAAGCAAGACCAGCGTAATAGGTTGGAAGACAAAGATCTTACCTGTCCCGAGACGGTGGGCACTGCTGGCCAGAAGTACGGGGAGGAGTTGAAATGAGATTCTTCCATCCTAGCTGGGCACAGGGGGGAAGAGGAAGGGGGAAGGGAAGAGGAATGGAGGAGAAGGAAGACAGACAGACAGACAGACACACACAGAAAGAACATTAAACCCAAAGAGACTCCAACATGGAACTGACTCAGTCTAATGCTGTGACAGTTCCTTAATCTCCCCTTTCTTAATTCAGCAACTTCTCCCCACTTTATCTGCCCAAATCCAAAAATTATTTTCAGGGGAAGAAGGTGTCTGCTACTCTCACAGGCTTGGGTCCGTCTCAAATGTCTCTTGCCCAATAGTCCTTCATGCAAAAAAAAAAAAAAAAAAAAGACTGACTACAAACCCAGAACACCTCCAAAATTCCCCAATTATCAACCACCCCATTACATGGCATAAACGATGAAGTCTGTGCATCTGCAACCAGGCAAATACAGCTGAAAAATCATTTTTCACTGTCACAGACAGTCTGACCCCACAAGCAGTGACAATTTTGGACCCTGCCTGTCCCTCCACCCCAGCTCAACACTAAGGACCCAGATGCAGCAAGGGGACATTAGCATTTTGTTACACAGGAAGAAAGACAGGCAGAAAGAGGGAAACAGACTTGCCCAAGATAACAGACAGCCACAGCAGACCAAGAAGTCAAACTTAGGGCTCCTAATTTCCTGCTGCCCACTGCTCTGCCCACCCCAGTCCCACCCTCGGAAGAAATCCGGAAATATCACTCAATATTCCTGACAGATAAGATCCTCTTCTCTCATCCAACCAGACTAGGCAGCAGGAAAACAATCTGACTACCCTGCTCCTGAGACACTGTATTTCCGAGTGAGATCATGTCACGGCTCTCTATGGCCCATTTCATTCCCATCTTTGGGACAAGATTCTGGAGATCTCTGTCTCCAGTCAAGTGCCCACTGCTCCATTTCAACACTTCAGGCAGTCAGAGGACCAGTTAGAAACCAAAAAGATAACCCTCTGAAGACAGAGGCAGTAACCTCTTAAGGATCACCTGGCTGAAGAAGCCCTTTCCATCCTGATCCTTACGTTCCTCCGTGGAATAGGATTAGTGGACAAAGTTTGTTACACTCGTGAAAACAGTATTCAAAAACTAAAGAAATTCACAAAAGTAATATTTCGTGAAGCAGAAGATGCACCCAATTCCTGAACAAATACTGCAAAACTAGTGGTAAAATACATGTGGTAAAACCCATGCTCGGAGAACATTTGGCAGAGCAAGCTGCTTAGAGAAAGCAAGCACTGTAGGTTTCTCAGGCAGCTACCTGCAAATTGTCTCCTATTTCTGTTATGATGTGGCAGTAGTCTAATTAAATAAATAAGTAAATACTGTTTCTGAAGGGCCTACCTCAATCATCAGATAAGCTGAGGAGCATGCCCCAAGTAGCATGAAACACTTACTTTCCAGAAGTATATTAGGGCAGAATAAATACATGTGGAATTGCTGCGTGTGAGCCAAAATGCAAAGATAATTTTCCTCTATGTAGAGAAGCAGTATTTAAATGAACCAAATTACCTGATAATTTTGTTTTTATGAATTGCTCACGCAACAGCAAAGCCAAGTATTCCTGCCTCACTCACTCACTACAAATCAACCAATAAACACACTTAAGGATGAATTATTTACCTTGCAACGGTGGCATGCAGTCAGACTGCCAGCTGCCTGACTGAATTACTCTGGATTTACATTGCTGTGATTCAATCAGAATCTGATGGGGCAAGACTTTTACCTTCCTTCCTCTGCTTTCTTTTCCGAGCCAAATTAATTAAGTACACTGCCCACAGCAAGGCCCTATGTATGTAATGCTTAATTACGTGACTTTTTTTTTTTCTTTCACAGGATGGGCACTTGTGAAGAGATAACAGCATTCTTGGCAATTGAGCACCATCTGAACAAGAGGAGTTTTTTGTTTGGAATGTCAAGTTGGGGTTTTGGGGGTTTTGTTTGTTTGTTTTTGTTTATAAATAAGCCTTTATTTGCTTAGCTTCCACATCAAAACATCAAAGTGAACCTGATTCCATGAAAACATAGAGTCTCCTATAAGAATCAGATGCATTTTCCAAATAAAGTTTGTAGTTGTCCAGGACTCCCTTGGATTCAGCTGCGGACTTCAGGAGTTAAACACAAAGATGCCAATTTCAACAAAAAACAACAGCTTTCTTTTCTAAAGAGTACAAGTTATGAAAATCCAGACTAGCACAGGCAAGGGCACTCAGTGGTGGCCTGTCTTCATCTAGCCCCCTACCTGAACTTCACAGAGCACCTAACTTTTGTTTGCTCTGTTTATAAAGTACACGAGTCAAAATAAAGTTCTTGCTGATTCTCAAAAGATGACTACTTTGTTTATGTTAAACTCTCTTAGAATCCTCCTCCCCATTCAAAAGTCTTCACGCTTGAGCAGGTATCGGGCCTTAAAACTTTTGGCTTGAAAGGTTGAAGTGTGATGAAGTTATAAGAATGTGGAGGAAAAGGAGAAATGGTGTAAGAGTTGAAGCTTTCATGCAATCTCACTAGCAAGCCAGTCTTCCAAAGGCAGAAAACAAAGATAAGACTCCTCCACCAACCTACTGCCCTAATACCCCCAGCTGTCCCTCCCCTACCCCGCTTTTAGGCTAAAGGATATTTCGAAAACATGCACCCCTATTTGCAGCCCCCACTTTAACGCTGCTCACACTTACTTTACCAGCACTCTGCACGTAACCCTTCCAATTGCTCTATAACTACCAGACATGGGCTGGAGCTTCAACCCTGTACCACAGCACGTTCCCACTGCAGTGCCTTCATCATCCCAGCTTCCACAAACAGGCCAGAGATGGGACCTTCTTCCTATTCACCAGTCTAGTATCAGACAGATGTCAACGTACCCTCCTGATATAAACCAAAAACACCTTCTATGTACAGACCACAAAGGTACATACACCAAATAAACAACCGAGTGAACCAGAGAACTCACAAGGGACAAGGAATCTGGAGTTTAGCTCTCAGAGTACTTCACAGAATCACATACTTAACGTGCTGGGCTTATACTTCTTTGCAGGTCATCATTTTAATCTTAAACAGATAAAAGCACGTGCAAGTATACGGTGAGGTAGAGGCTGTGTTTCTGGAAGGCACAATCAAGGTTGGATACGCAGGTATTTACAGGTTGACTTTTAATATCATTTTCTTTATTCTCCAGATATCTAGTTTTTATTTTCTATTTGGTGTAGAGTTTTCAATTGATTAAAGGCCCTGAATATGATATTTGGGAATGATTTACGATGTCATTTTATGTCTGCTCAAGATCTTTGTTCAATAACAAGAAGCTTTGAGGCTTAATTGGTGTAAAATACTAAGAACGCTGAAGGCCACGCAGGCTGTTAGGTCAAATTCAAAAATGCCTCCACGAAGCTCATAAGCACCAAAAAGTTCAAGCGCCGCTATGTCTTTAGGACAAGCACATCTGGATGCACATCAGGAATACCCCAAACATGCCGGCCAAAGTCCTGAATCCCAAACCCCTGCAGCACCAGAGCTGGAAGAACTCTGGTGCCATTCCCCGACACAAGCGTAGCCTCCAACCCAACCGATGGCGGCTCCGTCGGAACAGGTGCCTGGCAGGGGACATACCCTGTGCCTCAGCTCCTCCCAGGCACTCAATCCCCTCTCCCGCACCACTTCAAACCCCACCCCACAACGCCGGGACCTGCGGCCCACCCAGTCCCGTCCATGTGTCCTCCCCAACCCCCCCATGCGGTGCGGCCGGCGGGAGCCCCCGGCGGGGGCAGGGGGGTGACTCACGCAGCTCCGGGAGCTCCTTACCCCTCTCACTCTCCCTCCTCTTGCATCTCTCCTCCTTCCAGGGCCGTCTCTGCAAACAAACCGCCAGGGTTACGGGGGCGCCCGGGGCCCCCCATGACAGCGGGCGGCGCAACGCGGGGCCCCCGGACCCGCCAGTCGCCTCCGGCCCCCGGGGGAGCGGCCATGGGCGGGGGAGGGCGCTCCTGGCGGGGA